CCGCCAACGTACCAAATCTGTCCCCGCATCGTCCCCCCCAGCGAAGGGTCGCGGCGCTCTGGGACAGGGGCGCGCACCCTGGCGGACATCAAGGCCCGTGCCCAGCAAGCTCGTGCCCAGCGGGAAGCCGCTGCTGCTGTTGCGGCCTCTGGGGATGGGGGAGGGCCTGAGGGGAGCGGCCCGGGGGGTGGTACTGGGATACCGGATCGCTCCAGCGGGAGGCGTTCGAGAGAGCACCCAGGTCCCGTTGAACCTGGAGGAGGAGGAGGCAGACGAGGAGGAAGAGTTGATTTGGAGGAGCAGGAATCGCCTGCGAGCTCTCATTCGTCTGGAGCACAACTACAGCTGTCCAGTGTAGATTCAGCAGACGGGCCTCAAACCTCCACCCCACTGACCGAACCATCTCCTTCCTCTGTGTCTTCAAACCCATCTCTACCACCATCAGAGTCTCCGAAAACACTCACACTTTCACCACCTTCAACCGACAGCCCTGCTTCCCAGGATCAGGTGGAAGAGATTTGTGGAGTGGAAGAAGTGACTGCCTGCCTAAGTGATAAAGCCTCAGAGCAGACATTAGACACCCCAGTGCCTACGCCAAGTGAACCAGAGTCTTTTTGCAGTCACCAAGAGGGGAGAGGTGAGGAGGCAGAGTCCAATGAGAGCAGAACAAATACCCCTGTTTGCACCTCAGCATCAAATGATGCTGTTTCTTTAGTGCCCACCTCTATACCAGACTCGCTGCCCAGATTTGGTGCCCAGGGTGTGGATGTCATCAGAACTTTGGCAGCTTCTTCTCAACCCTGGGAAGGTGAAAAGAATAGTGGTGAGCATCACCCAGGGACAACTGGAGTTATTCAGCATGGCTCAGACTTGAAAATACCCAAAGAGACACTTGTTACAGCCCGAAATGGATGGGTAGAAAGTAGTGAAGAGCATTCCATGAGAGAGGGGATGCTCCAAGATCATAGGAATGGAGGAAATGATGATGATGGCAAATATGAATCAGCCTATTTGCCTTGTCTACCAAGTAATGGTGGCAAAGAAGACACTGGAGCACACAGTGATTCTACAGAAACAGCATCTGACTTCGAAAATGAAGCTCAAGAGGATGAAACAGTGGACTGGCATGGAACCCAGATGAATAGTAATGGCATGCAAGCTCAGAATACAAAGTCGCAGAATCAACCTGTCATTCAGACCTCAAGTCGACTCACTTCATCAATGTTGAATACTCCTCAACACCAGCAACCAGTCATACAGGCCCATATATCTAACCCCAACCATACTCAAACTGTCATTCAGGCTCGTTTCCCTAATGGTGTGTCAAACCAGCCTGTTATTCATCCCCACAAGCAGCATGCAATTCATTCCCAAGCTATAAACCATACTCAGGACCAGATTACCACTGCGCCCTCACAAGCCCAAATGCAAGCTTACCTGACACAGACAGAGAGGGACCAAAGTAGAAATCTACGGCTGAATGATAATCGCAATGGTGTGAAGCTGTTTGTCTCAACCGAGGATGACACCAAACCTCTCAGCAGAGGGCCTGGAGAAGATTTTGTTTTAAAGAATTCTGCCGTTCCTCCCATTGGCAGAAGAGTCCAAGGTTCATTTCGACCAGTTTCCTCTGTAGAGGCCAACAACCCTCTTGTCACCCAACTTCTTCAAGGCAGCCTACCCTTAGAGAAGGTCTTACCACAGCCTCACTTGGTCAGCAAGCTGGAAATTAATCGACTTCCAGATGCCCCTGCAGGTAACTCAGCCAGTCGTCAACCTCCGAGAAATCTGGGACCACGTTTTAGAGGCCCGTCTGACTCAGGAGGATCTATAGAAACTGGTGGCTCTGACTTCCAGCACAAAGCCCCATCCACTCGAGTGTCTCCTGGACCTGGTCGGAACTTTGGTTCTTCACCACCGGGTTCTACTCCATCTCGAATGGCATGCTTGTTTGAGGAAGCTAGCCCAAGATCTGCAAATGTTCAGTTCACGTCTCAACCAGGAGGTGCAGTGCCCCCAGGAGCTGTACCTGTCATAACACCCCTCCCCTCAAACTCCTCTGCTAGAACCTCAATGGATGTAAACTCTCAGAATGCTCCAGTTTATGAATCGGCTGTCATTAAAGAGCACCCTGGACCTCTTCCTCCAAGGGGTGAAACTCCGGAGAGGCCAGCTGGCTTTCAACAGCATCCTAACAATCTCTCCCAGTCTGTGTGCAGAACCGCACCTAATGCTCCCTCACCTCCCAATGGTGACCTTTGTCCGTCGGAGGTTGTACCTACCATTAAGATTAACTGGCGCCCAAGCAAGCCCCAACCACCTCAGCATCAGACCTATCAGCAACAGCTCTCTCCTGTAGCTACAGTAAAGAATGAAGTCTCCTCACGTCCTTCGTGCCAACAAGCTCTGACCAAAAACTCACCTGCTCCAAACAGTGGCAATACTTCTGTTGTAATAACCAAAAAGGAGCCTCTGGACAATTTTCATGGAGGTGGTGGAGCTATGGAAGGACTGCTAAATATGGAAATGTCTCTTGTTAGAATGGCCAAGAAGGAACAAGTCAAAAATCCATATGCCCGCCAAGCAGAGACCTCCGCTTCTCCTGTCTCCTCCTCCCCTTCCTCATCTGCCTCCAGTCTCTCTTACCAGCTGTATGGCAAGCTACCAAAACTACAGCAGAGTGGGGGCAACGGAGGGTCCTCATCCAGCTTCAGTTACACAGCTAATGTGTCTGTGGTGGACGGTAGCGGGTTCTCCCGCAGTTTAGCTGATGGTGTGCTGCAGCTAAGGCCACGTGTGAGCGTTGGCAACAGTGGAGGACAGAGTGCTACCCTTAGCATTCAGGCATTTGCGGACAGTGCTGCAGAAGAAGTGGCTCTCAAGTGTTCCTGCCGACTTAAGGCTATGATCATGTGCCAGGGCTGTGGCGCTTTCTGCCATGACGATTGCATTGGCCCCTCAAAACTGTGTGTGTCATGTCTGGTTGTCAGATAGTTTGTTGCAGCTCTTCCAAACTGAGCCGGTTAGTCAGAGCAAATGCTTTGACCACTCTAGACAATTCTAGCCCTTAGCCTGTGGCTGGACCCCACCAGAAGTCTTGGACTCTTGTGAGCAAAGAATGAGGCTGGACACTGTTTAAACGGGCCAGATTTTTTTTTTTTTTGATGGGCCAGGCAATACAGTAGGGCTGGAAGAATACTTGTAAGATAAAATTCAGTCTGTATTTTTGTTGCATATTTTTTCTATTGCTGTTATGATGGTGTTGTTATTATTAATATTATTATGATTATAATAATAATGATATTGTTATTATTAATATTGGTATTATTACGTGAATTTACATGGCACAGTTGATTGTAAATTGTGCCTTTTTTTCCCCCCAACAAAACATTTACCTCATCTACTTGACACCAGTCATCAGTTCAGTGTGAAAATGGTGACGTTCCTGGTTATTTTCTTCTTTTGATGCTTCTCTGTGAAGAGAGATTTAGGAGAATTTTGTGTGTAATGTCTTGCAAAGAAATATTTTTTTAATCATTAAACAAGAAAATTCATTTTTGTTATTTTGTAAGTGCTTTAACTCTTCTTTTTGTTTCCATTTTTATTTTCTTATCCAAAGTGAAGTCCAGTCTGTACTTGGCAGTTACGCACAGTATTCAAATCTAATAAAGCTGAAAGTGAGCGTATTTTCTCTTTGATCTTTTTTAACTGAGGGTAAAGTGGGCCAAAGTTGTGTTTGGGGGGAAAAAAGTATCATTGTATCATCACGGTGATACAGAGTATCAATGTATTTGTTTCCACAGCATGTGCACATATTTCTTTTAATGTCACCCATTTCACGAGTTCGCACTAACATATAATAGGATTGAGCAATTAGTAAGCATATTTGGCATGCTGTCCAGAGGGAGGGCTCCGAGCTCGGGAGAGAGCCCCAACCCCGAGAACTCCTCCTATCCCTAAAAAATGGGGTGAGAAATAGAATAGAGTGAGGAGTTGGGGCGGAGGAGGGATGCTTGAAAACTGGTTTAGGACAGAGGTAAGTTGGCTGTGTATGTGTGTGTGTATATATATATATATATATATATATATATATATAAAGTCTCAAATCCAAAGAGATATTCTTTATAAAAGTTGAGTCAACCACGACTACCTAAAATGGCTCGTTCTAACACGCGCCCAACATGTCTACATCACGATGTGGGACGATTTGCATAACGTCGCCCGCCGGCCGTGCCGTTCTCAAGCCCGCCCGCCTCCGCTCACTCAAGCCCGCCGGCCGTTCCTCACTCTAGCCGCCATGTGTGACGCTGTGTTTCGTTGTGAAAGCGAAACTACTTTGTTTGGCCCTATGGCCTTATAATGGGTTTTAATGTTTTTGTCTCGTCGCTCCGGCCTGACATGGCATCATAGTATGGTAGGGGCGTAACATTTCCGTCACACGCTTGAGGTATTCGGCCAATCACAACACACTGGATAGCTGGCCAATCAGAGCACACCTCACTTTTCAGACAGATGAGCTTTGTAAAAATCGACGCATTTCAGAAAGGTGGGGCATAGAGAAGAAACAAGAATGTATGGTATGTGGAAAATGTTTTTTGAACCATAAATGCATTTCATTACACCAAATACATAAAATAATGTTCTTTTTAGCAACATCATATGACCCCTTTAAGGAGTATTTGTCTCCAGCCCTCATAATAATGCATAAAGTATGGTCCACACTTTTAGAAATCTAAATTATGCATTTAATCTGTCTCACATGTGAGCCCAATGTTTATCAGTGTTTAGACTTAAGTTTTACATTAAATGGTTGCAGAGACTACGGTCTGAGTTTATATATCAGAAAACATACATAATACTTTGGTCTATGTTCTCCAAAAACTGCAAATTCATTTACACGTCAAGTCAATTTGGACCCTCTACTCTGATACATTTGGCACCTCATTATCTGATGCAAACTTTTGTCAATTAGACAACATAAATGTATCATTCAAAACAGGTTTTTCAATTAGGGCATTCTACATCACTGGACAAAGTGCACATCAGAGCATGACCACAATTCAGAGCACAATTTTAAACTTGTTACACAACTGTAGACTACACCTTTTATACTTCTATATAGCATAAAGCAAATGCAAAGGCCCTGAAAACTGTACAATCCCAAGACTATTTCAAATTGGCAAAACCCCTCAGATAATCAGTCTTTCATCTTGAAATCCCTGAAATTGTACAACACGGATTATGTTAGACGATCACATTTTTAAACGTGCCATTGTATTTTCACACAATATAAGTGTAATTCATTCAGCACACAATTAGACATTTTTTACAAATCCATACACCAGAAGAATATTTAGATTTTCACTTTTCTTAGTAAATCTATGAGCTGAAACTAGATGTTATATAACACACAAAACAAGTGAGAATGTCCGTTTGAAAACGTCACTGCACAAATAACATGAAACTTAGATTAATAAATCAGTTTTCACTGTTTTTTGACTCCATGGTTAACTGTTAGCATTCTAGACCTTGAACCCAGATTGAGCATTAAGACAAACGAGACTTGGCAGAACAAAGAGTGTTGCAATTCTATGAGAAAGGTTAACAGGATAATGCAAAAGTGGGTGATTAAACAGCCATAGATTCTTGATGTGACAGTGCTAGGTAGATCTGAGTAGTTTAGAATAGAAGGAGAAGTCTATTTCTCTCTATAGTAAAGAAGATACATCTTGAGAGGTTCTGGCAAAGGCAGGCTAAGGATCCTCTCCCTTAAGAGGTTTACTGGAGTCTCTATCACCAAAACACTGCACTCATTCCTCCTCTCATTCTCTTCTTTCTCCTCTAGTTGTTCACAAACCCTTCTGCAGTCTTCATCTTCATCCTCATTGTCTGTGGATGACTGGTTGTTGTTGTTGTCCATGGGTCCGGGAATCAAGCGACTCATGAACAAATAACTATTGGTCAGAAGAGGGGTGTCACGGTGCTCTCGTTTCTGTTTAAGGTGATTTCTTAGCTTCAGTCCAGTTCTCTGGGGTAGCGGCAAGGATCCAGACCCGGATTTCTTTAGAATGTGACGGATGCTGATGCGGGCCAAATCCTGAAGACTCCGCACCTCGAACATGGCAGCTGGACAACATGAAACATGGGGGGGTTTTGACTGCATTCAAGTATCTTATTATCATTATGCTCAATATACACTACAGTTCAGAAGTTGGGTTGGTTAGATTTTTTGAAAGAAGTCTCACCTTTAATTAAAAATACAGTAAAAACTGAAGTATTGTGAAATATTATTTCAGTTTAAAATAACCATTTTCTATTTGAATCTATTTTAAAATGTAATTTATTTCTGTGATGGCAAAGCAGAATTTTCAGCAGCTATAACTCCAGTTTTCAATGACACATGATATACAGGTGCATCTCAATAAATTAGAATGTCGTGGAAAAGTTCATTTATTCCAGTAATTCAACTCAAATTGTGAAACTCGTGTATTAAATAAATTCAATGCACACAGACTGAAGTAGTTTAAGTCTTTGGTTCTTTTAATTGTGATGATTTTGGCTCACATTTAACAAAAACCCACCAATTAACTATCTCAACAAATTAGAATACTTATTAAGACCAATAAAAAAAACATTTTTAGTGAAATGTTGGCCTTCTGGAAAGTATGTTCATTTACTGTAAATGTACTCAATACTTGGTAGGGGCTCCATTTGCTTTAATTACTGCCTCAATTCAGCGTGGCATGGAGGTGATCAGTTTGTGGCACTACTAAGGTGGTATGGAAGCCCAGGTTTCTTTGACAGTGGCCTTCAGCTCATCTGCATATTTTGGTCTCTTGTTTCTCATTTTCCTCTTGACAATACCCCATAGATTCTCTATGGGGTTCAGGTCTGGTGAGTTTGCTGGCCAGTCAAGCACACCAACACTAATTTATTGAGATGCACCTGTACATGATCCTTCAGAAGTCATGTTGAAAACAGTTGAAACCATATTAATTTATTTCAGCATTCTAAAATATTTGAAATATAACTATGTAAATTTTTTTGTAAAATGTAAACATTTTTACTGACACTTTTTATGAATTTAATGCACCCTTGCTCAATAAAATAATTTTAAATACTTTTGAATGGTAGTGTACAGTGCTGTAAAAGGCCAAAATAATCTAATGTAATAAAACAATTTATATCATGTAACTTGTATACACAAAATACAGAAGGTGACTTACGTAGGGACACTGCTCTCGGTTTGCCATTTTCCCTGTGCTTAGGGAGCACAAGTGGTGCAAAGGACACAGCAATTATCTTTCTCGTCTCCCATGTGTTATATCCTGTCCGAGTGATTTTAGTGAGCTAGAACAAATGAGAAATGCAGAGACATATATATACATTTCACAAATACTGTATATCTTCTGGATTACCTGACTCCAGATGCACTGCAAAATTGAGTTTCGATTATTCACCTTTTCTTCCAGTGGCAGTACTAAGATACCCCCGACCTTCAACAGCTTCTTCATGTATTCTTCGTGTTCCCTCTGGACCCCTGCGCCACAGTAAACCCTGTCATACTGCCTGCTTTCTGGGGCAATCTCCAGACAGTTGCCCACCACAAATGAAGGCTCACAGAACTCAAACCTAGACCAAAAATATTAACAATGTCAGTCACTTCGTTTTCACATTACACTTTCAACAAGGGAATGAGTTTATTTTAATTCAAAAGTAAAATCCCAAAAGTTACTATACCTGTCAAAACTATAATTTGTCTTGATGAAGAAGTCCAGCTTCTGATAAGCATATTCTATAACATCTTCATGCAATTCCACACCATGATTTACACCAAATGGCCCTGGAGATATGACGTCACTGATCACATATATTATACATATATAATATATATTATGGCATATGCAGAAAATGTACTGAGAAAAACGGTTCAAAGTTAATAACACAAACGCGATGAAAATTCTGTAATCATTTACTCACCCTTATGTCGTTCCAAACCTGCATGACTTTTTTTCTTTTCCGGAACACAAAAGAAGATATTTATATTTTGAAGAATGTTGGTAACCAAACAGTTTCCGTTCTCATTGACTTCCATTGTATGAAAAAAGAACACAATGTTAGTCAATGGGAAAAGAAACAGTTCAGTTACCAACCCTCTTCAAAATGACTTATTTTGTGTTCCCAAGAACAAAGTAAGTCATACAGGTTTGGAATGACATGCGGGTGAGTAAATGATGACAGAATTTTCATGTTTGGGTGGGCTATTTGTTTAAATTTGTCTAAAATAAGAAGAACAAAATCAAAGCCTTTATATTCTCTATAAACTCACCTAGTATAAGTCCCACCATGGTGCTGAGGTAGCCTGTGCCACTGCCCAGGTTAAGAAAGGACAAGCCAGGCTGCAGGTCTAGAGCCTCCATCACCTCAGAGTAAATGCAGGGTGCAGAGAGGTGGATGTTGCCATGTCTCCAGGCCAGATCCTTGTAGGCACTGTCACGGAATTCTTCCAGATAGTAGTCAGCACGATCAATGGCCCTGAAGGCATGTTCAACCAGATCAGAGCGAATGTACTGGGCCTCCTTCAGGTTGTCAATCAACTCGTCATTGTCCTCCCCGGCACTGACCGCACCTCCCATTTTAGCTCTTTGTTAAGGGCAAAACAGAAGAGAAGAAAATTAAAGACGTGTAAGTGTGCACGTAGCCAAATACAAAAAAATGGAAACATACTTCCTGTTGATATGGGCCTTTAAAAAAGTTGAACTGATCAATCCGTGTATCATTCGATCATTTGTTTTTTGATTTAATATTGAAAGTAGAAAAATGACAAAACGGCTCCTTTTTCGTTTTTTTGTTTTTTTTTCAAAAAACGAAAAATTAGAATTCAGCTTAAATTTTCGTTTTTCGTTCATGGGTGGAAAAATGAATAAACAGCTTGAATATTCGATTTCTACAT